TTTATCCATACAAATGATCGTCATACGCCTTGTGGGACAATAATAAATGAACACTGAGTTTTGTGAAGGCCACAGCTCAAGCTCATGTAAGCATTTTCTTAATAATGTATTTGTAGATATGCGACATTAACAATGATAAAGTTATGTATTTGAATTATATGGGTCATTTAGGTGAACAGTCGTCGATTTATGACGTTTTGCATAACATACTTGATCGATTCATCAGTGATGTTTGGTAAAATCAATAATATTAAAATCTATGGGTAATTTTATAATGCTTATTGAAATATGATATTATCGACTTTGATGGCTGGATAAATAACATTGGTTACTACTCAGTGATTAATCAGTTTACAAATCTCGGTCGTACCTAAATGATAGAGTCTCAAACTTTGATACAGAGTGATGTGAGTTAGAATCTTACTGGAAGAGGTAATTGTTTCACAATTCAAGATACATCCTTTTGACAAGCGTCTTTATATCAAAGTCCATTAAATGGAGGCTCATTTTTCCCTATTGGACTAAATTCAACAATCTAATGTTTGACATCATTTGCATAACCTAATTGTAAATTAGTTACAAATCTACATTGTATTCTATAATTTACCACTTTTTCAAACATAATCTAAACATTTTGAAATATTAGAGTTCTTTTTAATAGAATATGAAATACTACAGGATTATCATATATTCCTCCTGTTTATTACTGTTATTAATACTTTTATTAAATAAGAAATTAAAATTAGGATTTTCCTCAGAATGAGAATGAAATTGCTTTACTCTTACTTTGAACTAATGCAAACGTTTTAGGATAATAGATTAATAGTTCTAAATGTTACGTAACTGACAACAGTGACAGGTGTTATTTAAAATAAGATAATTATTTCTTCATCATTAATTTTCGAAAATACGATAACATAAATAATTATTATTAAGCAAAGATGGATGTTAGCTAACAGCGAATCCAGGACTCGCGTTTCGTCTTATTTGGGACTCATCAGCTAGATGTACCTGCATCTCAGATTTGATGTTCACTCTGAGATTCGAACCCAGTAACGTCCGCTTCAAACGTCATCACGTCCTGGATTCGACTGCTAGCCACTACTTGTCTTTGCATATAATGCTTGTGAATTAAGGAAGTATTGAGCCAACATGCACAGGATACACATATAGTAATAAAAGACTGATCAATTGAAGTCCTAAACATCAATAAGAAGTTTCAAACAAACAATATCCAATGGATTTAATAATAATTATTGTTATTGGTACAAATATTTTTAGAAGTAAAAATAGTAAATTGCTGATACAATTAATCATCCATTAAAGCTCTATAAGAAAAACTCATTGAAGTCGCATATATTGCATTTATTTTTCTAATAGCCACAAACGAAATGACGTCGAATGCAAGTTTTAACAATTCCGCGAATGTGTTATGAAAATTTGAACTCACAATGGTTACATAATTATACTAACTAAATATACTGCTAATAGTGTCTTTAGTTTAGATTAAACGTTTACTTTGAATAACATTATAGTAGCAATAATGAATGTTGGGGTTTCGTGAAGTAAAATGCTATATAAAAAGTTTGAATGAATTATATGATGTGAAATGTCAACTGACTACTAACAAAAATTAAGTAGGCTATTTACATTAATATAGAGGTGGACAAAGAAATGAGCTAAAGATTAACTGTAAAACGTTCTTTAATAAGATTAGAGAAATTTGAACAAAATGAAATGATAAGTAATCTGAACATGCAAGGTTGGTTATTAAAGAAAAATCACAGTAAAAATTTTTAAAGACCAATCGGTAACTAGCAGCAAATAATGGATTTAATTAAAGGTAAATGTATTGTCTAACTGAATTCCATAACATTTCTCTAGAAGTTTGCTGAAAACGACGTTTTAAAGTGTTTAAATTTATTGGCTACATCACCACTTTCAACATAACGATATGCTTAGCATTCTGATTAAAAAGTTTCCTGATGCTATCAACATTAGCATCCTACTTAACAAGTTTTCAGTCCTAATTATTATTCTATTTATGTTCAAATTTCCGCGCAATTCCGTGGATTAGCTGAGGTTAGACATTAACACCGTTAGATGCCGGCTCAATGGTCTAGAGTTTAGGCGTTCTCACGAGAGACCGAAGGCCCTGGGTTCGAGTCCCACGAGCAGGATCGTGGATGCCCACTGCTGAGGAGTCCCACAACAGGACGAAACAGCCGTCCATTGCTCCCAGGTGTTCAGTGGTGGTCTAACATTAATCGGTTCATGATTTCAATTAAAAAGCTCAAATTTTCCCTTAAATAAAATATTTTGTTCCTTGTATTGTGAAATAGGCAGATAATTTTAATCTCTGAACCTGGTATACACTAATAAGCCATACTTGTCACTTATTTTCTCCGCACTCCCATAAACAACTCATCTTTCAGATAACAGATACTTCTGTTAAGTTTGTAAATGATATTTCTATGTATATCCCAGTAATTTTTTCCTACATGGTTATGAAATGTTTGAATTTTCATCTCGTCTGATTGTCAAACTGATACATTTGACCTTGATAATATAAATAATTCATCTTATGCATTAGTAACGGCTTTTCAATACAAAATATACCGTGTTATCCCTCATGGTGAATTATTTTTAATTGCAATTTCTATTCGTTTCATCATGTTATCATAAAGTAAAAAGATTTTCTTAGTTGCTCAGTGAAGGTAGATCAGCAAGTTTCTCATTTATAAATTACCAAGTGCAAATTTGAAAAACGTTTTTCCCCAAGCATCTGGAGTAAATGTATCTTGATGGTATTCAGTGGAATGAAACAAAAACGTGATTTTCGGATAAGAAACATTTGTTGATATCTAAAATGGACTATCTCACTTCTACTTTTGTTAATCAACATAGTTTTTTATCATTCAAAAGCTGATGATCGTCGGAAGTAAACTTTCTTGTCATAGTGCTCAATATTATTCATGTCATTTGTTCACGGTACACAGTGAATTAAATTTATTTCTGTGTTGTAGAAAGTCTGACCTAATTTAGGTCATTAGTTTGAACTGTTCTCTATTCTTTAAGTAATAATGTGATTTAGTATATTTTGTTCGACACTCCATTCAATCAGTTACAGTATCGGTTACACACAGTTTTCAAAAGAATTTATTATTGTTCAACCAAGTTAAAGAGATAAAAATACCAAGACGGCCGATCTTATTATTAAACTATTCATTTGAAATCTTCACTAATCAGTTTATATATCCGGAAATACTGTTCAGTGGTATGCATTGAATGGCCGTTAAGATTTAAGATGAAATCAAGAAAAATAGTTAATGTTCTACTTCATCAAAGTAATCCAAAGTGTAACGGAGAGCTGCTTAAATGTAGTGAGAAATATGAACATTTCAGAGAGTAAATATAATAGTTTTTAAGCTAGTATTCCAAACGAGGGATCAGTGCTATAAAATTAGTGATAATAGACTACTAATTTTCTATATTGTGATCATAAATGTTACTTAGTACGAAGATTTAGAAAAGATAATTTATAAAAGACACTTTAATTTCTAATTAATTTGTGCTATGAATTTAATAATTCCTATGTAATTAAACTCGTTATTCATTTTTTACTTTCCTTATTGTGAGTATTAGCTACATTAGCTGTGTAAATAAATACTACTGTAAATAAAACACGGAGGAAGAAATAACACCAATACTGATATGTTCTGTTGTTTGCGCCATGATGCTTGTTGCATCTTCTTGATTGCTATCATTTGAGAAAATAGACACATTATTACATCATTGTGTCTTACAAACTAAACAGTATTTTCCTGGTATCGACCATTCGTCTTTGAGTACATTAACTTTAGAATTCATCACTTTCGTCCAGTCAAACCCTGATGTTTGAAAAAATTATAAATTGTACATGTTGGGGTTCAGAACAATGATGATAGAATGAGAGCAGATGTAACAGATCGATTTTTAATGTATTCGATACTTTAACGAAGTATTTATCTGTCACTAAACCAGTAATTGCTGATATGATTATTGGTTTTACCCCAGAGTTTTTAGGAAAACGACTTTGTTTGATGAACTTTCTGAAGCATGTCATTTGTCGAAAAATTGATATTCGTGCTTCATTACACTGTATTTCCTACCTGATTACTTTTGTCAGATCATAAAAGTATTTTGGATCAATTTCAAGATGAAATAACGCTCATTGACATAACTTAGTTCTCTATATTTTCATGATATATGTTAGATGTAACACAGTATGACAAGTCAATTATCGAAGCCAAATACTGAGGTCCCTTGCTGAAATATATTAACGTGGTTTGAGATTTGACATTACCTCAAACAGAAACACTGAATCTCACTCATTCCATAAATTAATTAATGAAAAATGATTTTTAACTTTAATTATGATACTAATCAATGATGGTCAATCATAAAGTTCAGATTTTGACCGACATTGACAAAATTAGTAATAAGGTAAACACGGGTTTTAACAAAGACATATCTTTTGAGGCATGAATAATTAATTCTCATAGTTTACACCATGAACACATCCTATTCAGGCAACGATTGAAAATTAGCTAGGACTAGACGGCCATTCAATCCCAATATGGAGATCCTCATCATATCCATGAGCATACTTGAGATCCAACCTTCAGGTCTCGACAACCTATTGACCACTGAGCCTCTATACATTGTTTCACATGATTGTGCAGTATCGCGAATTGATTTAAGTTAAACATATACACCACAGGATGCTGGCCAAACGGTCTACAGGTTAAGTACTCGCTGAGAGTTCAGAAGGTCCCAAGTTTTATCCAAGGCAAAGATATCGATACGCCCTGTCGAGGAGTTTCGTAATAAGGCGAAACAGCTAGCTAGTTCTTATCAATTTTCAATAGTTATCTTACTAGGTTCAGTCGATGATGTCAGCTTAAAAGTCGATAATCTTCACAAGTGCTCTATAGTAATTAACAATCAGTTTTTTTATTAAATCATTTATATTTTTTGAATGTATGGTGGTTTAGTGTAGAAAATAAAATCTGCTTCTGTTTTTTTATGTAAAATTAATCATCAATTTTAATAATTGTAATTAATTTAATTGTCGTTCAAGACAAGGAACAATTGCAATTAAAAATGTTAGGAAAGTAATTGCACTTCCAGCTAATAAACATGTTGATGGATGAGGTATTTTTCTGGTTCCATAAAACTGAGAATTAATATTAGCCAATGTTGCTGCAGTCATTGCTAAAATAACTGAAATAAATACGAACAAAGAATGAACAGAAAAAAATAGTACTGACAAATATGTATTTTTAGTGTAAGGTTTTAAGGAGATTATAGAATTTGTATAGACTTTATTTCACACGACTCAATGGTCTAGAGGTCAGCGTTGATGAGAGAAACTAAGGGTCTCAGATTTGATTCCTTGATGTGGATAGTGGAGAAACACTTCTAAAGAGCCCCATGATCGGATGAAATGTCCACCCAGTGCCTCCAGGTTTTCAATAATGATCTAACTAAGATCAGTTCGTAACCTGAGATCTATAAATTATGCATTTCACCAAAGATATCTTTTGTTCTGCAAATTCTACACGAATCTGATACATTTATATCAGACAGAATAAAAACAGACATAGAGTTGAGCATCAGACTGAATCTAATATTGTGTTTAGATGTTTGATTTTCTCAATCACAGCTTACGTCAATATACTGTGTTATGCTACCAAAAGCAAATGAAAAGAAGATATAAGTAACAAAGATATAAATTCAATAGTTTCCAATTGTTTAAGTGATCGCTTTATTACCACTTACGATATATTGATTTTCAATTGTTGAGGTATCAATAATCAATCAATGAGCTGTAGCATAAAATCAGGAAAATCACAGATCATTTAACATAAGAAATAGAGTGGAATAGAATTTTTCTAATATTTCATTTCATTCTATTCATATCACTGAATAATTAAGATTATGTCTGGAATTTTCATTGCTAAATATTATTGGTTAGAGAATGGATAACTATCAAGAGTCAACCGTTTGACATCTAACCCTAGTCTAAGATGATAAGATGCATACAATATAAATCGATCTCGTGGTTCGTAACAATTTCTTAGGATAGTGTAATGCTTATTGTCCAACGATGCGTCTTTCTCCTCTAATTTACATTACGTAAGCATTTTTATATTTAATAAAATACTTTATTAGTATCAAAATATGTTAACTTGTTGATTTTCTTTCCAATAAAATTTTCAAATCGCATAAATCCAATTCATGCTGTTTGTGTTAGGTTTGATACAATATATTTCTCAAGTAAGTGAGCTGAAATGTGAACCTGGACAAAGTATAAGATTTTATTGGTTAGAAAACCATGACGAAAGTCAGCGAGATAGTCGCGCTCGCGATCAATATGATTATCTCTGTACCAACCCAAATTATTTATCGTTTTTTATGGCAAGATAAAAACTTACACTATTCAAATTATTATTACATTTGTAATTACGGTGACACAATTCATAGTATCGGTATATTCATTGAAATTAATTATACTGTTATTCCATGAACGAAATTACCATTGGCAGGTACTGGCTATCTGTGTATAATCTCTGAGAATCGGTAAAACGAAAGTACTTTAGATAAGAATTATAGAGTCAGTGAGCTATGATGGTGTGATCAGAAAAATGAAATTTACAAAGTGTGGGAGAGAACAAATCAGCTTCCAGCTGAAGAAGAAATTAGGAAAAGACGATGGAAATGGATAGGACATACATTACGCAAATCGTCAAACTGCATCACAAGACAAGCCCTAACTTGGAATCCTGAAGGGAAGCGGAAAAGAGGAAGGCCTAAGAACACATTACGTAGGATAATAGAAGCAGATATGAAAAGGATGAATAACAACTGGAAGGAGCTGGATAGGATTACCCAGGACAGGGTTGGATGGAGAATGCTGGTGAGCGGCCCATGCTCCTTCGCGAGGAGTAACAGGCGTAAGCAAGTAAGTAAGTATATTTTACTTTAGGAATTTAACCTTAAAACGAAGATCTAGCACAAGAACAAAGTGAAATATTAACAGAGAATACAACCAATAAATCGAGGTAACTGCAGTAAATCTGTTCATTAATTACTGAACAAAGAAACTGTTACACGTAAAATTTGTCTTGTTATATCTTCATCACCAATTGACCTGTTTTAATGCCGATTAATATACAATCAGAATTATAATGTCAAATTTCATTTTGTTCAAATTGCGATCAATAAATAAACTTTTGTGTTTCAATCTCCTTCACATCACAAGTTAGGATGCTTTCTAAATTCATAGGACTAAGTAAATATCCTGGTGCAACAATTCGTATGCATGATGTTAGATGGCTGGAAAAATTTAAATCACTGTGATCAGGAATCATGACGATAATTTATATTCAGAAATTTGCAACGGAATACGAACCAGTTTACGAGCGTTACCAGATTGATAGAAATTTTTGGACAATACTTAGTTTACATCATCTGGATAAATAAGAATCTCCGGTAATTTCTCCTAGGATAAATTTAGACTAACAAATTTTAGAAAATGAATCTGATAGAGTATATAAAAAGCAGACTGAAATGGTGTTGTAATATAACATTTGATGTTTACTTACAGTTCAAAATAAAAGTGGCTACCAGGACTCAGTAGCTAAGTGGATAACACGATGGTGTTTGAAGTAAACGGTACTGATTTCCAATCCCAGAGTGAACATGAACTCTGAGGTGCAGGTAAATCTAGCTGACGAGTCCCAAATAGGACGAAATGCGAGTCCTGGATTCCTCTGCTAGCCACTATTCATCTTTGCTTATAATGCCTATGAATTAAGGCAATATCGAAGCAATACGCACAGTATGCACATATGTCAATAACGTACAATTTCATATTCGAATATCCAGTAGCTTCTTACATTTAAGCTAAACTCGAGAGAACAATACCAATACAAAAAATGCCAGATTGTAGGTTTCAAATATTACTACGCATATGTGAGGCTGAAGTTCCATAGTCACTAATTGGGATAAAGTCAACACTTTTTTTTGAGTCATTAAATTATCACAGAAATTAGCCATCATTCCACAATAAAATATTTAGCTAGTGAGTTAATCCTAATCAAAATAACAGTGTATTTTACTACAGAACATAAAAATCAATATTCAGTTATCAATACTATACTGAAAAGATTCATTATCTTTCATTAAAAGTCATTTGAGGACAATTTAAGTTACATAGAAAATATGATTAATTAATAATACACTTACAACTTAGAATTATGAGACCAAATAAACATTTTGTACATAATTTTTGATATTTATTAATTATGAAAAATTGTATCACATCAATTATCATTGCAATTAGAATTGTTCCTATTGCAAGTATATTGAATATTTGTTGAGCTAAGTCTTTAGCTGATTGATTTTTTGCTAAATATTTGAGAAAAAGAAAAAGAACCAAATAAAATGATCATGTTTTTTTTCTCTTGAAAAAGAAGAAAATTAGATTTTATTTAGTATAATTATAGGTTTTGCTTTTATTTTTCATTATTTATGAAAATGATGAAAATAGTTGTATGTGTTCAAATATTCCTGTTGTTTATTTTATGGATTGACTTTTGATCTCTTTATGAACGTCACTAACGTGAAGCCATCAGTCTCGTGAAGAGGGGTCCTGGATGCGCACCGCTGAGGAGTCCCACAATAGAATAAAACACCCATCCAGTGCTTCTAAGTTTTCCATGGTGGTCTAGCTTAAACTGACACATGATTTGAACTATTAGAATCACTGTTAAGAATTTTTTAATAAAATTTATCCCCTTCGCATAGGTCAATGACTATTTAGACTCAGTAGTTGAGTGGATCTTGAGAGTTTGACGCGAAAGTAATTAAATTCGAGTCATGGTGTGAATATCAACACTGGAATGCAAATATACTTAGCTGATGAGTCCTGAATAGGACGAAATGTGCTTTCTGGATTTCGATTTCCATTTATGATTATACAGAACACTTTATGGAGAATTTTTAAGAACTGAACATAAAACTAACAGTTCTTCATACACCACAAACTGTTGTTTAATCCAATTATCAGAGTTTTACGTTGGTACTTCAAAGTTATCCAACGGTCGGATGTTCAGGTTGTTTAGACAACTGTAAGTTGTAATAATGTGTATATATTTGAAGCAAAATATGCTTTACTTATCACTTACCGACTATCTATTGATAAACGACTTGTCTTGATTGCTAATATTAATATCTAGATTTCTGTATTCTTCTCAACTTTCTGAATACTAGTTTTTAAGGATCAATTATACTAATCATCAATGTGCATATGCTACGATTTATTTAAATCAGCTGAAATAAAGTTAAATGGCTGGGATTATTTCCAACTATTCCATATGCATAAATATCGCAGCTTGACACTCAGAGTGGATGACACAATCATAGTAAGAAGTTAAAACGAAGTCTTTATTGAGAATTACCTTCTAATATGCAGTAGTCATCCATCAAATCAATATGTCACTCATATCTATTGAATGTTTAACAAAAGTTGTACAAAAAAGCTTCAGTTTGTTTTGATTAAAACCAATAAAATACAGCTTATGCAAACATTTATATGTTCTGAATGTCAGATATTACTCAATTTATGATATGTATATTCACTGAATTCTGAAATTCTTTTACAGTCTAACTTTTCAGTTTAGTATTGTAGTGTGAGCTACTTATATCCACATAAGTAGTTCTCGTTCGCTACAGTATAAGCTCTCATTTCCGCATTTAGAAAACAAATCAAAAACGAGATGAGAGGTTCTTTTCTTTTCTTTTCATTTAGTTTTACATAACGAGATTACATTAATGTATATGTATTTGACAATAATAATAAAACTGTCACTAATTAAATGGTAGTAGGCTGGATAACAATACCATAAAGTCAAAAGTATTTGTGAACATAACTGTGAATGATTGATTAAGGAATAAGGAGCTAAATTAAAATAAAATAAACTTTTGTTAATCAAAATTACACCTGTAACAGTCGATTTTAATGTAAATATGGTTTAAAAAAAAATAAAATACGAACCGAACATTCATAGTGTTATTTAAACAAATGAATTTTTTACACAAGTTTTGACACTAATGACAGAGTACACTAAGTGAATTTATTGTTTTAGTTATAATCCACCATACCATGATGATTTGCCTAAACATTGGAAAATATCGTTATGTAAAAAGAATTCATCGATATTTAAAATGTAGGATCTAATGACTATTGAGTAGTGACCAGTGTCACGTTTGTCTAGTCCTTTAAGCTGATCGAATTCAATCTATCAAGTTATAACGTAAACAACAGTTTATATGAATCAACATCGTGTGAGCTATATTGTGATGTTAGCTGGTTAGATATAGTCGCCAGGAAATCATGGACATAAGTTACGTACTATCTGACAATTTTAAGGAAAGCTTAGCTGAAATCTTCTAGGAATTAAGAATTACTGTGGGATTCTAACGTACATTATCCGGTTTCACTGTCTGAGACGTTACCACTGAGCTATTTATGTTGCAACTGGTTTCCTATAGAAATGGGATATTTACAACTGACTGATCTCTAAGCAGTGACCAATGCCATACCAGAGGTGTAAATATCAAAAGGTTTATAGATTCACGCAAAAGTAGTGTCGCATATCAAGTAGTTGTATAACCAATACGTAACGTGATCATTCATTGAAATCACATGATAAAAAATATCGTACATAATTTACAATGCTAATTACATAAGTATTAGATAGTTTAAACGTTCTGTTGATATATGTAGTCATGTAGACCAGAATGGTTTTGGTATTAATTAATGCAAAAAAATACAACATGATACATTGAAATGATCAAGTTAATAGCATACTCACAAAACGAAGATATTGTATTTTTTATGAGAAGCTGTTTTTGTGAAAAAACAAGTTTCATTTCATAAATTAAACGTAGCAAGATAAACAGAGAAAACAAAAAAACTTAAAAACGTTGTTTCATCTTAGTGTTGAAATCGGGAGTAGAAAGTATTCACTATGTCAGTGGGGATCAAACCCAATATCACATTAATTGTTTACAAATTGACATTAACATTTGTTATTTTTTGAAAGTATATATGTAACAGCCTAAGGGGGACGAAAATCTTGAAAATTATGTAAGACATTTTTGTATAAATCTACTGCATTATCAGATAGAAATCTGACAACTTCTAGACTATTTTTGTTTCCGGTGAAAAAAAGTATTTCAATCAGAATACCGTATGTTAGAGATTGTATTGAATGATTAAAAAATATCAATTACTTTCTTCCTTGCAGTAGTCACCAATCAATGTTGCGGCATTAAAATGGTTCCCCCTGCACCTGTTTCTGATCTGTGACGAGAACCATATTCAAAAAAATAAGTTCATAAATAAGTACATAGTTATTATTGCCATAATACAATAATAACAAGTTTATGTAAGATTCTTTCAAGTGATCTGTTAGAGTGATCATTTGTAATTATCATATAAGTGTACTCGTTATATTGCAGCATTTCAACCATCATTTTGGCGCTAATCCTGACAATATGATAAGGTTAAGTTGAACGTTTCAAAAATATCTCTCAACATTGATCGGCTTGTAAGAAACTTAAATTTTGTAAATTAACCATTAAGTCGATGGCATTATCTCAAGTTTACCAAAGAATCTTACTGAGAATAACTCAACTCCGGCTACTTGTCATAGATTTTCAAAGTAAATTTAATAATTTTTTTCAGTACGTTTCAGTCAAGCGTCAAAAAATAAAGTTTTTCTGGACGGCAGATAAATTTTAACCTCAAACTTAAACTACCTACTTTAGTCACTGCCTATATCACAGTCATCTAAGTGACGGTGATCTCACAATGGTAACTTAAGCATATCTTAAATATTTCTACTTGTCAATGAAACGATATATGTATTTAACTTGCGTATTTCATCTAATAACTAATAGAACTGACTACTTTAACATATAATAATTATGATGTGCAAACTGCTAAGGAATCTTTATGTATAACTATTACTCTGTTGATTGGTCGCTCTTAATGATGCAGACAGTGACAGCAGTTATCTTTTCTTTACATTATATCTCATTGATAGCCTAAAAACAACACAACAATAGGAGTTCGGTCAAAATTACATGAATTCATATTAGCTTATTGAGATTCTTATTAAGTGCCCACGAAATATCACATAACATTTTCAACAAATCAGAAGGCTTTGAAAGCGCATCAACATAGTGTAGTAAATGTGTAAATAGAAATAAAGGATTATGTCAAATATTTCAAATAAATATGTTATATACAATAATTGGTTTAAAATGCGTATCAGGATCGTGGTAAACTACTACTGTAAGGCTAGAATTATGAAGTTATATAATTTAAATACAGACTAGTGTTTCAAAATGTATTTCGAATGATATCGCATCTGTATAATGCAATACGACGATGAAGGTTATCAGAACTATATGATACATTTGTGCAGTACATTTTGAATGACCTGGTCACAAGTATATACTTGTTAAGGAACTATACACGTAAAAATGAAAAATCAACTGGACAAATTAGAAGGTTAGTTGAATCAAAATAATTTATGTGTAAACGGCACTGGATAATAAATCAGAAATACTGGGATAGGTTAAAGGTAAGAGTAAACTCCTTTTGAGCACATACACGAAAATCCAGTTTTCGTATTGGCATGACTTCAATAAACTTAAGTATACCCCGTTGTTTACTTTTACATAACACTACAAAGGCTGATTTGATACCAGCCCTATAACTTGTTTCAACTAAACGTATCGCAAAAGAAGAAAATATCTGTCTTTGCTGTAATCCTATTTGACCATTGGAGTTCATTTGTTGTCGTAGCCATTTAGATATGTGTTCAGCCACCCTTCCTTGCAGACCACATCTACTCCTCCCTATGTAGGTATTTCCTTACGTATATGCAAACTGATAGACGCGATCGGTGGGATGTGACACAATCATTCACGTACATTCTGGGTTTTTGAGGAAACCTAAACCTTGACTTTTCAACAGTGATGAGTTGGGCTGCATAAAATGTCTTAATGTTAGTAAATTTAGGTCTTCGTTTCAACATACGACTACATGAGTCACCTCTGAATGACAGGGTGATATAGACCCAATTTTCGGGTGTCAAAGACATACTAGGTCTCGTCATATTTTCGCCTTCCTATCAGTTTATAAACTTTAAAGAATAAAGATGTTTCATCAATATTTCAGTCAAAGGCTTTACATCTCCCTCAAAATTATATTTAGTGAAAATACGATTAGTTCTATTGAATAAGCCCTTTATTAACGCACGTCTGTGCTAGACAGGGCAATAACTTTGAAAACGAAGATACTGTCTTGTTCATGTTGGCTTTCTATATATGGAATGTTTGGTGGAACCATCATCTTCTTCTGCCTAAGAAGAGGAGTCGAATGTTTATTATCTGAATTTATCAAAGGGATTAGTTATTTTAAATGGTATAGTAAACAAGGTTTAGACTAGTTAATCAGTCATTTGCTTTCAATTGCTTTCGGTTATTACCTTCTTATAACATTAATTTGGGCTTGAATTTTAGTATACAAACATTCGATTACATTCGATTTAATGGTTACATTTCATGCGAATGTCATTTTACTTACTGACATTCGACTAATTAGAGGAAGGAGATGTTTTAAAGGCAAAGAAGAGAACCTAAGAAGTTTAAATTATTGAATAAGCTTTATCTAAATAAAAGTATCTTCCTAGTAAAACAAGCACCAAATATGAACTGTAAAATATCTTTACTTTAGCATTTGTTGTGACTAAGCCTTTAGACCGTTCTGAGCTTAAATGATTCAGTTATTAAGATCAGTGTTAAATAAAAATGTCACACTAAGTTTGCGGAAATAAGCTTAGCTTTTTTTATTGAAACCATGAACCGATTGACGTTAGACCACCATTGAAAACCTGGAAGCACTGGACGGCCGTCTCGTCCTATTGTGGGACTCCTCAGCTTTACTTGCATTCGTAATAAAATAATTCTCATGTTACTACATAATCTAACTTAACCCTATAAGGAACTAAAGAAGCCTCATTGTTTAATAGAACAGGTGGAAATATTTGTACTAAGATGGATCGGAACTAATAATCGTCACTTGTTTAGGACTTTAAATTTTATCCCTTATTATTCGTTCGTTAAATAACAATTAACTCATTGTCATACTGTTTTGGTTGAATACTTCGTGCCAAAATAATGATTTTAGTTTTCTGATGTGTATTCAATTATGTTGTCACAAAAAAGGGAAGTTTTAAAACTGATTCATTGATAACCACTTATTCAATGGTATTATAGTCACTAAGTTCTCTAGAAATTTGAATGGAATATTCGATTTAGAAAACTCTATGGTTTATTCAAATATTCACATAAAAATACACACCAGTGTGGCCTACATACACAAACTTTTAACTGGTTTCAAAAGTTTTTTTAGTAATGTAGCTAAACATTATGCTAAGCATTGTATGGCACGTGTTACTTATCTGAATGGTTTATATGTAGGGCTGCAAACATCCCGTCCATACTAGATGCATAAAAGTCTGACATTACTGAAATCGAACAAACATAGCTTATCTAATATAATACACGCTAGCTCACAAACAAATGGATTAATACTATTTCATATGACTTGTAGTGACTCACATTTATCACGAGAACACGACTGGTTTAATAAAAACAATTATTATTATAACCAACTGTACCAGTGTTTGTTTAAATGTGCTTTTGTTTGACTGTGCTAATGACAGCTATATTGTGCTTCCATTCTTATTCTTACACTTTGATTGTGACTTCGCGCGAATTCGGTTACGTTCTGTAACCAAGCTTGTATCCTGGCACGATCTCGGTATCCTTAGGATATCACGAGATCGTCAGCAAATATGTCTCGACTTGGTCCATTAACTGTCTTCTGATATTTGGCTTCTCGGGGATTTTACAGATTTATTTGGTTTCGTTCAACCTTCGCCTTCTGATTTACTTGGCACGTGTTTCTCTGTAGCGGTGTTCATGGTCAATCCCGACTCGACGCCACGCTACAGACTCTCCTCCTTGATATATTTTCTTTTTGCGGATCAGAAGAAGTTGGAAAATACCCCTACCCCTAAGACTCATGCTAGTTAGTCCTTGACAGAAAGATTTACCTGTAATCTTACGGGAAGTGATCCTCCTAGGGGGAATCTAACCCCAATCAAATTTTTCACCCTGTTTCGAATCATGTAGACTAGTGACCAGAATGGAACGTGATCAATAGAATTTGAACATCACTTAGAATTAGAAAAACATGACATTTGTCTTTACTCAAAGACCAATCAATTAATATATAAATATAATATTTCTTATACTGGCAAATCAACTTACTTAAATTCATGTCAAGTTAGTATAAAAACAGGTTATGTGTATGTAGGAAGACACAATTCTACTTTTAAAACTTGAATTTGAATTTGATTAATTAGTCAATTAAATGAAATACACTTACCAAATAAATTATCATCCATGATAAGAGATGTTGCTAGAAAGTATAAAGATAAGAATAACGCTACTAATAAAATGTAATACGGTAATCTAACAAAGTGTTCTCCATGTTTATGATGTATGTAATGATTACGATGTTGATGGCGAGTACCAGAAAGATGCTCTGATTGTAATGATGACGATTTACTCTGCATTTTTATTACATAGATAGGTATAAAACTGAAAAATTAGTTCGTTTTGAGGTATTCATCCACACCATAGTATTAAAAATTCAATAATATAGTTGTTCATCGATTTAACATCACAAGTTATCCAATCACAATTTATCAATATAGAATGTATGTGTGTAAGCATGTATATTGCCCTATTTGTAACTGAGAAACATAAAGGTGACCAATGTAACTTAATCATTTTGATGAATTATATCACAGACACTATAATGATAACCAAACTCTATATATAAAACAAAATTAGACATTTTTACATCTCTTTTCTTGAAAAAAACACTCATTTCTTTCAATGGTTGTGAAATCAACTTTAAATTGACCTTTTAAATTGTTGAGCTAGATATCCAGTCTATTTTCAAAGATAAACAATAGTTAAACTGTGATTTCATCACACACGTTATATATATTTCAGGTCATTTCATCGTCTTATGTAAGTTAAATATTCTATTGAAAAATGGGAGAACGAAAACATCATATTACGCGTTTGTCGAAGAACTTAATGATCGAGAATCTGAAGAAAGATGGCAAGCCGAAATCAAATTTATGAAAAACAATCAACCACTTGACGAGTATGGGAAGGGTGAAGAAGAAATTTAAAGTATGGAGGTGATAATAACGAGTAATTAAAATTGAGGAGATGGAAAACAATAGAAAGATGTATTAAAAATCAAATTGCCGTTTTCGAAAATCACTTTTTAGAGCAATGAAAGAATGGTGGATTGCACACATTATTTTACGTACAAAATTCGGTTTTGAAAAGATGAATCGCTCATATCTCTGATGTGCATAAGTTATCAAGTTGCTCTCCTCCTAAACCTAATTATTCGACTGAATAAATCATTCTATGAAATTTTTCAAGGGAAGCAGTGTGACCAGAGTTCATAAGCAGTTCTAATATCGAACTGCTGATTGTTTACATTTGTCTTTCGAAATTCAAGCAGGATTATGTTCGGAGGTACGTTTGGGAAGCACTCCATATGAGCAAGTAAACTCATCTATACACTTTGAAAAGGCAGGGGTTTATTTTTAACATAGTTACGAATAATGGAAAGATGATGCAAAGTTTAACAGAATTGAAAGATTTATACAAATATTTCATCAGACGGTTTTCCAAAAATTCCTTCACTAGTATGACCCTTGAACCCAATGCTCATGAAGAAATTCTTGAGAACTATAGGAAGTCTAGCAGATTGCAATTTCGATCTCATGTTTCCCTCAAAAATAACCTGAATATATAGCCGTTTTTGATGAATATTTGTTAGAGCTTGGATAGTCTCTCCCCTAGTATGTCTTCGCAGCACATTCACTTAGCCCTTGATAATAAAGATTTAATTAGGTTTTGCTTTCTGTTTAATTAGACTAAGCTGTGATAATTCATGTATTGTCCATTCGAAGTTGGTCATAGATATACTGTTCTTTGCAGTTTACTGTCTATCCTTTCATTAAATAAGATGTGAGGGAAATGAAATTCAGAACTCAAATCTGATTTCAATGTAAATTTAATTGATTGGTGAGAAGAATTGAACTTATCTTTTATGGTATTGAGGTGGGTGTTTTCATCATAAGTAATAAGACGTAATCTATATCTCTCTTATAATTGTGAGCTGTCAGTCATTGACTGAAGTACTGTATTCTTAAGATGTGATGAAACAGTCTTCTAAGAAGGGACGAGTGGTTAACCTATGTTTACGCCGTTAGTTTGCCTGTAAAACTCAATATTGAATCTGAACTAAATTTTGAAGGTAAGAGTATCCCTCTTAGTGTTTTAAAACACCAATAACAAGTCTCTTTTCAACATAATCACATGCGAAACAAATGGTCTCTCTTAAAGGAACATCTGGGAAAGTGAAGCGAAATCTAATTATATAGTTTTCATCCTGGTTACATTGAGATCAACAACTGAATGGACAATGTGATATGAGTCTAGTGCTCTATTTTTTAGTGCTGGATATGCCTTGCCTTTAAAGATTTACAACTGTGTGCCAAACAATTAATGAAACAGTAAAGGCCAACAGAGGCCGACTTTGGAAGTAGGTGGGGTCTGTGTCAGATCTTGGAGAGACTATAAACTACCAAAACTGCGCTGCTTGTTTTCAAATAAGTAAAATTTTCATATCTACTTCTCCATATGTAGCAGCGATGGCTGTGCAGTTTATTAGCTGTCTACAAAACTGTAGGGCCAGTGAAATATCTCTGAGCCCTAGCCATAGCATCCGGCAGTTGGGTCAGTGAATATTGAACAGGTCATCGATCCTTGTCAAGGTCAGGGACAACCAGTGCGCATCATTTAATCGTACGCCATGGGCGGGCCCTTGTGGTGGTGGTCGCACATTCGCTTATACTTATTCTTACCAATATATTTCCGTAATAACGTCCTTTGTATCGTTCGGTCTTCAAAACGGCCATAGTATTTTGATACTTCGAAAAGCTAACACACGTTAGATGCTGACCATGAGTTGTGAGTCCGAAGTTGGCTGTTGGTCACACCATTCCCGTCTAACTTTAGTAGACCCCAATCATTTTGATGTAGATAATCTATGTTGGTGATCTACAAAACCATGCATTCCTTACTGAAGTCGATGGAGTGCATGTCTGTTGTATCACAAAGAGCCATACGTGACCCACATCCAGGACAAATACATTAACTCTTAAAATGTGTAGCAGATCTGGATGCCTGTCGTTATGCCAGCAGTGCCTCTCGAAACAAAAGATGTTGTTACCAAAACCTATTGCAATAGTGTATGTATCTGATAGGCACGTTGTCATGTATGACTGTCCTGGCCCTCATCATGATATGGTGATGCCTATTTTATGTGGAAGGCAGTTCCCAGAAAAGCGGATAACAGAGTGGGCTTCTTCTGTGCTCCTCAATCAAAGTCACATGTTTCATACGTGTTTTCGGTGGCACATCACGAGGGAACAAGAAGCAAAGCAGACAACGCTCACGAAAATTGAAGTTGAGTCTTCTATGATGGAATAACTAAGGCGTGAATACTTGTACTTATTTTCGTTTATTAAGTCAATTCTTTGTCAAGAGCATTTTAATAAGCTCAATAAAACAAGCCCTAGTATGGAGTTTGTAGGACAATGAACGTATAGATGGAGGTAATTTAAAAAGGAGCAGAAAGTTTAGGATTACGTGTACTTTTTAAATCTAGCACGGAATACAGTATTCGAACACACAAATAACTCTCCCTCTTCTTTTGTCAGGACTATTTCAGTTCATTCTTATTATTATAGCTTTGTGGAGTCATCAGAGAACTCCGTGTTGGTGCAACTACCCAGGTTTGTTTGTGATAGGACTCCTCGGTAGGAAGTGAAACCTATTCAAGGCTACAGAAACGAGATAAAGAGGTATTTGGCATAAGAAACTAGATTTAATATCATTGCTTAGTTGTATCCCGCTAGAACATAATTTAATAAAATGTCCTTCCCTTCAAACATGAGTAGATTGAAGTTATCTCACCGATCACCTGATCTGCTGGTCAGTGTCGTTGCCCTTACTCCTTTTGTGATGTCAGGCTTTTTTATGTTTGTAGTATGTGTGAATGCTGCTCCAGCCTAAAATCCATGTTGTACACGTTTTGAGAATGAACTGACTCTAATAATTCAACGTTTCAAGCAAATGAAAATAGCTAAAGTTTTGTAGTGTTATTTAGATTTCCATTTAGTAAACCACACTGCTATGAAGCCAACTAATGGATTAAGTTACAATATCGTGGTCAGATGGCATGTGGATTGGAGAAGATAAGGATATACGGCAGATAAAAGTATATGAACGAAGAGTTTGGTGTTGCGAAATTTCATTTATGTCCACAATGTTGTTGTGCCCATTCTTTTCAAAAGAGACAATAATCTCGTAAACCAAGTACAAATATGAGTGGTCAATCTAAAACATAAATTTTACGAGGACAAACTCCAACATCTGAGATTATTCCAATTGAGCTACAGGAGAAAAAGAGGCGATCTGATAGTGGCTAACACATATGGATCACCATCTCTCTCTTGTACCAGCACTATCTGATACAAGTTTGATAACTTAACATGCATATCGCTACCTCATATCAGTAACTGATATCCATGTCCCTTATTATCACTACTTTCTTTATTATTTTACAATTCCGTCCACCTACACATTAAAAATCAAGTAAATCATTTATTTATTCTTGAGACAATCTCCTTCTCTCAACACTCAAATTATCATTTTACCAATTTACTGTGGTGTTTGAATGAACCAATGATACCTTTGTACTTGTTGAATGCTTGATTTCGAATTCCAAATACAATAAATCCGTTTGTGCTTGTGTCTTACTTCTTAATTCAATTGCGTTACTTCTGGGACTCTTAGTTCGTGCTATAATTCAATTAATTCAAAACATTATATTGGCGTCGCGATGGAGCCTGCAATGGAAAAGTTAGATATTCATTCAACTCCTGAAGCTTTTGAGGATTACTTGGAAAGGTTCGAAATTTGGAGCATGACCAAGAAAGATGTTAAAGGTGAGAAAATTGTGGCACATTTTCTGACATTCATTGAGAGAGAAGCGTACAGCTTATTAAAAACTTTGGCATATACAGAAAAACCTATCTCACTCCCCTATGCAACTCTTAAACAGCTATTATTAAGTCATGTAAATTGCACCAGTTTTGAATGCCGTGAAAGTGCGAAGTTTCATAAGATGGTTCGTCAAAATGACCAAAAGGCTCGGGAATTCATCCTTGAATTACAGAAACAAGCTGCCAAGTGTAATTTCGGTTATCAACTTCATGTGCAACTGAGAGATCGATTAATTGCAGGAATTAACATACCGAGTTTGGAAAGAGAGCTGTTAAGAATACCAAACTGTTCCTTCCAAGATGCTAGAACTGCGTGTATTAACTACGAAGCAGTCAATGAACTTGATATCCAGTCGATGAAGATTTCTAATACTTTGCTTAGTCGTCCTGATGAACTACAATCTCAGGGTCAATTAAACTTGCGTTCATTTAACAGTGATTCCTATTCTCGTGTAAATATGAAAGGTGTTTCAACGAGGAATTACAAAGCAAATCACAAAGGTGAGATGAAGTATGGTAAATGTTTATCATGTGGAAAGTTTCATGCTCGCAATTCATGTGTATTTCGTAATGCTAAATGTTTTAAATGTGGTAAGGCAGGACACATTCAGTCAGTATGCAAAGCTACTGTCCATTTTGCTTCAAGCTGTACTAAATCTTGTAATTTAAATTTCAATAATTCGGATGTTTCTAGTGA